TCGAGAGTCGCAATTCGAGGATCGAGTTTTGAGATTCCCTGAGGTCCAGGCGTTGCAATGTTCACAAACTTTCGCACATCTCTGGGCCACGGGACCAGCACAGGTCGTTCCATCTCTGACAATATTGCAGAGAGGTTGGGTCGAGGACTCCAGTCATGTTTTTGTCGTGATGTATTTGTTTCGCAAACTTCGGGTCTCAGGGGGGGTTCTTGTCGTCACGGTCAGACTCTCCTCGAGGTGCCGTTCAGGGCGCACCCCGGGAGAGGTCCAGGGGTCGATTCCAGACGACGCCGAGGACGACGAATGTGTCGTTGCCGACATCTTCGTTTCAGGTTTGTTCTACGTTTCTGAGTGTTCCGTCGTCGCCACGGTTTGACGCGGCTCGAGTATTTCTCGACGTCTTGTGTAATGACCGCGCCATCCCGAAACGGTGTCCAGGGGATTTAACAGGAGGAGGTACGCAGATAAGTGTATAGCGAAGTACAGAGCCCAACGATGATGACCTTAGAGACCTCTGGGAGTGTCTTGGAGGTCGCTTGGAGTCAGATCGGACCTCCCTTGTGGCTCGTTAAGTCTTTTGTGGTCCCATGAGGCGCTCTTGCAGATGTCTTGGAGCCCTGCTTGGGGGGCACTCTCGAAGACATCCTGGAGGCCATCGAGTAGATAAAAATGGCAGGATCCTTCATCAGGGTCTCCCCTTGGAGTCCTACGAATTACATCCTGGAGCCCTCTCTGGACGCTCTTGGGACGCTTTTGTGGGCCTTCCGTCCCCGCTCCATGTCTGATGGCCCTGGTGACCAACGATGGGCCCCAAAGGCCGCAATCTGCACAAGCATCCACCGAAAGCCTCTCCAGACCTGCGAGCCGCTGCCCCTGACCCAGGCCAGAGGAAAAAGCGGGGGGGAAACAAAACCCTTTGGGGTTGTTTTGGAACCCTTGTGGGCCCCTTTTGGGGCTCTCCTGGGCGATCTTGGAGGAGGCCTCGGAGGCCTCACAGACGCGAACAGGCGAGAGGCAAACGCCCTTGTGGGTTTCTGAGAGGTGCTGGCCTCTGTGGGGCATCCCTGCACGGGCCCGTGGTGACATCAGGGGTGGCCTATCGACTACAAGCGGGCAAGTCACGCAAGGGTCACCCGTCGTTCGTCCGCCGCATGGTTTTGTTGTGGGTAAGTCGTCCAGGCTCAGCCCCTCGTTCGTCGCGGCCGCCGCTTGATTTGGGGGCGCGCCGCTCGTCGTTCCTCGGCGTCCACCAGTCTGGCCGCGTTCGCTCCGTCATCTGTTGCCCCTCTGCCCAGCAGGACTACAGCGGGACCTCAGTAGGACCCCAACGGGATCTCATTGGAACTCCAGTCGGATGCCAACGCGATCTTGTCAGGAGCCAACATGTTCCAATCGCGCCCTAATCGTGTCCCCGTTGCCCAGCTGTGTATCGAATCGCTAGAGACTTAGAGGCTGCCATGCGGGTTTGAGTCTTACGTGTTATCATGCGGGAGATCGTTTGTCGGTTCTCCCGCGTTGTGACTGAAATGTGTTGAGAGCCCCCTGATGTGACCATTTGGAGTCGTCTTGGGTACATCTTGGGGGCCGTTTGGAGTCACGTTGGGAGCCATCTTGGGATACCTTGCTCCATCTTGGATGCCGTCTTAGGCTACCCGGCGCCAGCTCGGAGCCATATGTCGGGCCATCTTGGACGCCCTGATCTCTCGCGAAACCTTGCACATTCTCGAGAAAGTTGTTGTTCCGTTCTATCCCCTTCTGTTTCTTGTGGCGCGACCTGGTTTCGCATGTCAGCGGCTAGTGTTTTTGAGCCTCAGATCAGTTGTACCATGTCTGATCTCGTGGTTTTCCTATGATTGACCTTGGGCGTGTTCGGCCATCTTGGAGACTTAATCTCTCGCGAAGCCCCAGTTCCGACCCCAGGGGAGTGCCTCCCCCTAACAAGAAGAGCGGCACCCCTCCCTTCGAGGCGCGGCCACGGCACCAGCGTCTCTTCGCCTTCAAGACGGCCAAGACGAGACGATGCAAGGCAAGACGACTCCCAACTCCAGACCAGACCAGACCAGACAAGACAGACCCCAAGCTCAGACCAGACCAGCCAAAACAGAAGGCCGTACCAGACAAACAAGACCAGACAATACACGAAAGGACACGTCTAGACCAGGCAGACTAGACAAGAAAGACCAGGCAAGACCAGACAAGACAAAGCAAGACATCACCAGAGAAGACAGCATCCCGGGGGCTGGGGGCCTCTCGGCGGCCCCATGGCGGCCCCAGAGAGGCCCTCATCTGTAAAACACCGGCGCGATATTAATACATACGGTTTTCTCGCTTGTTCGCTCCCGAACGGCTCTCAAGGCCTCACGACAGCCCGAAGTGCCCACAATGGGCCTCCAGAGAGCCCAGCAAGGGCTTGCAAACCGTTTCGACACGACAATTCATGCATTGGTGCGCCTCCAATGGGGGGAAGTCGAAGTCTTCGGGCGTGGGGTACGTAGATGTGGGGGGAGGCAATTTCGTTCCAAAATGTGACTTGACACTGCGCGGACGTGTACATTTTTTCTCAGCGCGGACCATCGAGGAGCTTGGACAATCTTTCGAAACAGAACGCACGGATTCAACAAATACACGGGGAATGGACTTCCGAGCGATGGCAAGGGGAAGAGGAAGTTGCAATGAGGATTCTTTCAGCCATGTACTCCCACAGGGCTCATGGGATTGGCCAGGATGGACCCCTCGAGGGGTCCAGGAACCAGATTTGAGCCGACTCGGTCGGACAACGACGACGACGACGACGACGGCAAAGGACGGCAAAGGACGGAGATGGCACGACGGACGGAGAGGGGACGCCAATGCACGAAGGACGGAGAGATTGAGGGGTGTCGAGACGGTGGGAGGGACGGAAGAGGAGAGGTGAGGCAAACACTTTGGTTGGGCCCCTGGGTTGCAGCGCGGAGCATGGGTTTGGGTGGCCTTTTTTTCCGAGTCGCCGTTTCCATCTGCTCAATTTTGTCCGGGAGGTCCGATTCGTGGATAGTTGTGGCAAGATTTTGGCACCCCAGCTCCGCCAGAGCTGGGGCACAGCAGATTGGCTAGCGGCCGTGTTGCGTGCTCCATTCGGCATTGCATTACGCGGTTGGCAGTCAGTGGTTGGCAGGTCTTGTAAACGCAGCCGCTGTGAAAACGCCGTGTGCAACCCTGGAGTCCCTCGCATCAGAGCAGGACAGGCCAAGTTGTACACCAAGCCACTGTCTTGCAAGGTGGACTTTATGGACTCGGTCGGTTCGACGAGCAAGGGTAGATTATAAAGAATTAGGCCGAACACCTAGTAATTATGTCTTGGCAGAGCAGTCACTGATTGTAGCAAACAGGCCACGGGAGTGGTATACAGGAATAGCGTGTACCGAATTAGGCCTTGGCAGTGGAAACATCAAGAGGCACCGTGGCTTCCAACCACCTTCAACAGCTGACCTGCGTTTCGGACGTTCACATAGAGAAGGTTTGCAAGCAAAGGCGGGTCTGATGGAATCCAGAATGTGGTACATAGAACAAACAGGACGGGATGACAGATGTGTTCTTGACTACCTCACCGCAGATTGTCCGGAGCATAGTGTCCCGATGCAGTTTCTGCGTTCCGAATGGGCATTGTAGCGCTGGACAGGTCCATTGGACTGACGTCCACGCCTGGCAGCCTGAAGGAAAGCGCGGGGGGGGACAGTCACAAGGAAGAGGCGGGGGAGGGAGAGGGAGCAAGAGGGGGAGGAGCAAGAGGAGGGGGATGAGGGGAAGGACGAGGAGGAGAAGAAGGGGGAGCGATGAGCGATGAGCGATGAGCAATGATGATGATGATGATGATGATGATGATGATGATGATGATGATGATGGTGATGGTGATGGTGATGGTGATGGTGATGGTGATGGTGCTGGTGATGGTGATGGTGATGGTGATGATGATTATGATGATGATAATGATGATGATGATGATGAGGAGGACGATGATGATGATGAGGAGGAGGAGGAGCAGGAGGAGCAGGAGGAGCAGGAGGAGGATGCTGATGATGGTAGTGGTGATGATGATGATGATGATGAGGAGGATGGTAATGATGATACTGATGGTTGTGATGATGTTGATGATGCTGACGATGCTGATGATGCTGATGCAATGATGCTGATGACGATGCTGATAATGATTATGCTACTGATAAGGATGATGATGATGATGATGATGATGATGATGATGATGCTGATGATGACGATTATGATGATGGTGATGATGATGCTGATGATGATGCTGATGATGATGCTGATGATGATTATGGTGGTGGTGGTGATGATGATGATGCTGATGATGATGAGGAGGAGGAGGAAGAAGAGGAGGAAGAAATAGAGGTCGAGGGGGGGAGAGGAGGATGGGCATCAGCAGGAGCGAGGGAGCAGCATGGAGGAGCTGGCAAGAGAGGGACAGAGGGAGGAGGAGGAGGAGGAGGAGGAGGAGGAGGAGGAGGAAGAGGAAGAGGAGGAGGAGGAGGAGAACGAAGACTAGGACGAGGACGAGGAGGACGAGGACGAGGACGAGGACAGACAGGAGGAGGAGGAGGAGGAGGAGGAGTTTGATGAGCGAGCGAGGATGGGGGGGAGCGGGATGGAGCGATGGAGGGAGGGAGTGAGGGAGGGAGGGAGGATGGAGGACGGGGAGGATGATGAGAAGGACAAGGAGGAGGAGGGCGAGGAGGAGGAGGAGGAGGAGGAGGGGGAAGAGGAGGAGGAGGAGGAGGAGGAGGAGCAGGAGCAAGAGGATGAGGCCTCGGAGTGGGAAGCAGGGTGCTGGACGGGCAGGGAGGAGGGCGAACGTGGAGACGCGGGAGCGGGGCCGGAAGATGGAGAGGTGCCCACTCGCAGCCGTCCTCGTCCTGCGGGCGCCCCCGCCCCGCGGCGGCCTCAATGCAGCGCCGCGGCCTGCGGGCCGACGCGATGGCCCGGGCGCCGCACCGAGCCGGCCCGAGATGATGCGCCCCCGCGGCGGGCCGCCGGCCGCCTGGCGGCTGGCGGGGCTGCTGGCGTGCCGCTGGCCGTGGCCCTGCCCCGCAAGGACCCTGCGCGATGCCGGCGCGCGCGGCGCCTCAGACGGCGGCGCTGCCGGGAGCGGCTCCCGCAGGCAGGGCGGCTGCGCGCAAGAGTGGCCCTTCGCCAAAGTGACCTTTGGTGCGCGCCTGCTCGGCGCCCGATCGTTGGAGGCGACGGCCCAGGGGCGAGTAGCCCAGGGGAGAGCATGACACGTAGCCCTTCGGGAGCCTCGCTGAAGGCATGGATCATCGGCGCCCCTGGATGCATGTATTGCTCCCCCCTGGGCTAGTCGCCCCTTTCCGTCGCCTCCGAGATCGCTGGGCGGGATGCGATAGCAGCGGCCTGCGCGCTCGAGTCTGGCCCCGCGCAGCAAGAGTCGCCCTGTGCCCAGGGTCGCTCCTGCCGCGTGGCCAGAGGCAGCCCGACATCCACGGCTGGACGTGGCCAGTCTGGTTCTCCGCACAGGACGGGAGGGGGTGGGCCTGTTTTCCACCACCACCACCATAAGTTGGAGGGGGAGGGGGTCCTCCTCCTCCTCCTCCTCCTCCTCCTCTCCTCCTCCTCCTCCTCCTCCTCCTCCTCCTCCTCCTCCTCCTCCTCCTCTTAGTCCTCGTCCTCCTCCTCCTCCTCCTCCTCCTCCTCCTCCTCCTCCTCCTCCCCCTCCTCCCTTGCCTGCTGCTGCTGTTGCGGCCTTCCAATCTCGTCACCGTCTGGCCGACAGCCAGAGGAAATGCCTTCGATGTTTCGGCTCGGCATCTGCCGACACTGTAAAGGAGTTCTGGGCGTCTGAGTGTAACCCCCTTTATAATGTCAATGGGGTCATTTTCTCTCCTAGAAAGGGGGCGAGGGTACATATTGCAGGGGGCTGGGCTCATACTACACACACCTTGAATGTACATGCGTCGCTTCAGGTTTGGTTTTGTAGTGTGTGCGGGGCCCTCGCAGATAAGGCGATACGCTCGCTGAAGGCGCCATGTAAGCTTAGATTGTCCAAGCACGGAGGGGAATATCTTGACAGGATCCACAGGGGGCTACAGCCCAAGGACCTGAGCCGAGCCGAGCAATCGGCTCGCTCGAGTGTCCCACCCAGGTCAGGCTAGGCTAAACCGAACTTGCATCGCAACGGGGTCCACTCCACTCCACTCCTTCTCGTCCTCCTCCTCCTCCTCCGCCTCCTCCTCCTCCTCCTCCTCCTCCTCCTCCTCCTCCTCCTCCTCCTCCTCCTCCTCCTCCTCCTCCTCCCCCTCCATTCCGGAGGGGGTGGGGGGCGGATGGGTATAGCTCCTGGAGATGTGCTGCGCCTCCTTGGGGCTCCCGGGCGCCGTCGGGCCCGCCCCAGAGACGTGCGGCGACGTGCCGGCCAGAGTGGCTGTCGAGGGCCCGTCCCCCAGACAGTGCGGTGGCCATGTCGTGTGGTCAAGGGCGCCCTCGAGGGCGCGAAGTTATTCGCCCTCGAGGGCGCGAAGTTATTTAATCGCTTCGCTCATTCCGCCGGCCCATACAGTCATGTCTGCCGTTTGCCCGAGGGCCTGGTGTCAATGCGGCGCTTTGGGGGTTCTTTTGCCAGGCGTCTCGGGAACCTCTTGGAGGCAGTGTTCAAGCCTCTTGAGGCCCCGTAAGGGCCGTTTGGGGGTCGTTGGGGCTTCTTGTTGGGCTTCTTGGGTGGTTCTTGGGGCGTCTTGGGGGACTTATTGGCGGGATGTTGGTGGCTTCTGAGGTGCTCCTAGGGGGAGAATCCCCCTTTGGGCGCCTCTTGGGTGGTCTTGGTGCTCTCTTGTGCCGTCTTGGGGTTATCTTGGGCCGTCTTGGGCCGATTTTAGCGGATTGTTGGGCTGTCCCGGGGCGATGTTGGGGGCGATTTGCGTAGTCTGAGGCGCTGTGAAACTCGAAACGCCGTTCATGCGGGAAGTGTACATGATTGTAATGGCCGTCTTGGAGGGCCTCTTGAGGCTCTCTTGGGGCTTCTTGGCGGCCTCGACGGCAATTTTGAGGTCATCTTGGGCGATTTGGAACGATCGTTCGGCGACTTGAGGCCGCTTGGATTGTTTCGGGGGCGTTCCGGTGCCGTTTTGGCGCGCTCCTGGAGCGTTCTGGGGGCATGAGCCGAACGTCGCGCTCTGGGCGGCGTGCGGAAGCCATTGTGTGAGAGGGCGCGGTGGTGAGAAGAACAGCTCACCCCACCCGGCTTTCCGGGCTTTCCGGCGTAAGGAGGGCTTCTTCGCGGCACTTGTGAACGCTCCTGGACAGTGCTTTTTGGGCAGGTTCTTGACGCTTGTTGCAAGTCTGTAGGGGCCCCGTTGGGAGTCTACCGAAAGGAGAGCACATTGTAGCATCGCTTGCACTTGCTTGCGTGCTCGGGGGGGCATTTGGGGGGCCTCCTGGGGCCGCTTGGGGGACTCTTGGGGGCCTCCTGAGGGCCTCGTGGGGGCCTCTTGGGGCCTCTTATAGGGGCCTCTTGGGGCCTTGTGGGGGCTTCTTAGGGCCGAGGGCTCGAAATCTTGTTTCGTGATCCCTCTCTGGGGCCCCTTTGGGGGCGTTCTTGGGGCCCTATTGGACCGTCTTGGAGGCTTCTTGGGCCGTCTTCGAGCCCTCTTGGGCCATCTTGGGGCCCTCTTGGGGGCCTCTTGGGCCCTCTTGGGGCGATCTTGGGGGCCTCTTGGGCCGTCTTGGGGCGTCGGGAAGCCGAAAAGGTGGAAGCTCCAAAATCTCTCAAAAACCTAAGGAAAAGCAATGAATTTTGCCTCCTGGGGCCCTCTTGGGAGTGCTCTTGGAGGCCTCTTGGGGCGTCTGGGGGCTATCTTGGGCGTCTTGGAGCGATCTTGTGGCATGTCGGACCCCTCGTGTACCATCTTGGGGGCCTCTTGGGGGCCTCTTGGCCTTTCTTGGGGCTCTCGGGGACGTCTCGGACCCCTGTTGGTGCGCTCATGGAGCGTTCTGGTGGAGTCGCCCGGGGATCAGCCGGGAGTCGCCCGGGGTACTTTTCGTCCGGGGACCCCCAGGGGCCGCCCCGCGCGCGCGAACTAGAGAATTGTTAACCAGTTACCGGAGATCTTAGCACGCCTCTGGCCCGTTGGGCCGGCGAATTCGCCCTTCGGCTCCGATTCCTCCTCATCCTCCTTTTCTTCCCTGGGAGGCGGCGCGAGAGCGCGAAGTTATTCGCACTTCGCGCTTCGCGCAGCGCGAAGCACCAAGTTGGGAGCCCTTGTGTGGTGAGTCGGTGGGGAGTCGAGGTGGCCGCACGATCGCCGCATTCCCCGAGGAGCCTCTAGCGACAGGGGCCTCCAAGGTCCCGAGTCCGTGCGGTGACGGACCGGGCAGTGAGGTCCTTTCGGGGTTTCGAGGTCACTGTGCCGTCTGTCACCGCAGCGTTTCGGGGCCCCTACGGCTGGTCCTTGGGAAAGCCTTCGGGGCCCAGGACCCAGTTCCATCAGGGCTCCTCTTGCTTTTGTGTCAAGGTTCGGGAGTTCCTTCGACGACAGCCCCGTGAGCGTGAACCCCTTCTCCTCGGACTTCTCCTCGCGGCTGGGCCACCTGATCGGCAACCAGTTCCCGACCGCCCCGCTCGATCGGGTCGACCGCGCGCACGTCGCCTCGGCGACGGGAGTCGTCCCCATGGCGCCAGGCGGCGTGAGGGAGTCTGCAAGAGCTCCGATGGTGAACGACTTCGTGAGCAAGTACTCCCACCCATCGAAGAAGAGAAACGGCATCGGCACAAATGTTCGGAGCCCCGCGCGGATGTCTTGGATCGGCACTGGAGCCCCCTGGCGGAGCCTCCGGTGCCGCCCCTGGCGCGCAGCGTCGATCCAAGAAGGCCGCGCCGACCTCAGGAATGTGTGTGTGCCGTTTCTTCTTCTGGCCCGGACACTTTCCCTGGCGAGAGGCGTGTACAGTCTGGCATGGACCTGGATGCGGTGCCGGTCATCCCCCTTGAGAAGAAGGAGATTGTCCCATCCACCGACAAGCTGCGGACACCCTTCTTCGCACACGATGATGTCCCGTGGCTCCGGGGGTGGGACCCGAAACCGAGTGACAACTATCCGCTCACGGCGCCGGGCGACAAGCTGAAGGACGGCACATCTCCCGTGGCCTACCATGACGAGATTCCTGAGCAAGTCGCCAAGTTCATCCACCAGGTGCACGACCGGAAGACCAGGCGGGACGTTGTCGCGCACCAGAACAAGGATTTCGCGAGCGCCGACCTGGACAACGACTCGCTCGTCTCCTACGAGGAGTACGTCGGCGAGCTCGTGAGCAGGCAGAACAAGACCGCTCTGGAGGCCAAGCAGCTGTGGGAGACATACCACTCCGCGGACTCGGAGGATCAGGGGCATTGTTAGTGGGGAATCGGCTCAGGGGGGAACGCATAGACCCCCAATCGCCCGCTGATCGCCGATAGGTGCCCGATAACACAGGAATGTGCGGATTCGCGATCGAGGGCCTCTCGCCGATCTATCGCCGATGTATCACCGATTCCAGGTCGATGCTTCCCCCCCTGAGCTGGCCCCCCTCCGAGGAAATGACCAGGGACGAGTGGACGCGACTCGCGCGGGCTGGCTTCAGCGTGGGCTCGATCCAGCGCCTGGACGTCGAGAACGTGCTCGACCCCGTCCCGGAGGCCGTGGCAGCCGGGTTCTGGGGGAGCGGCGCAGAGTGCCCGAGCGGCACATACGTCAGCGGAGCGAGGTTGAAGGTGAGCGAAGAAGAAGAAGATCAAGCAAACACGCCAAACAAAAATTACGCAACCGAGGAATCCCACATACTTCGCTTCAACTGTTGTTTTGGCATAGCTGACGTTCAACATACGCGAATGATGCCAGGTGGTCCAGAAAGTGCCACGCATGCTGTGTCGTGGACGACCAAGGCGGATAGCGTTCCCAACCCCCTGCGCACCCCTTGTGGCGTTGAGGAAATGCCACGCCTGCAATGCCCTGCGAGCCTGCAACGCATAGCGCCCCCACCCCCAGCACACCCCCTGTGCAGTCGAGGAAATCCCACGCCCTGCGAGCCTGCAACGCATAGCGCCCCCACCCCCAGCGCACCCCCTGTGGCGTCGAGGAAATGCCACGCCTGCCATGCCCTGCGAGCCTGCAACACATAGGGGCCGCGGTCAGAGACCACCCCCATGCGCACCCCCTACGGTGTCGAGAAAGTGCCACGCTTGGTATACCCTGGACGACCAGGGCGCATAGCGGGCGCGCTGAGGGACCACCCCTTGCGCATCCTTTATGCTGTCGAGAAAGTACCACGCCTGCTACACCTAGACGACCGGGGCGCACAGCGGGCTCGCTGAGGGACCACCCCGTGCGCACCCCCTGTGGTGTGAAGAAAATGCAACGCCTGCTGTGCCCGGGGCGACAGGGGCGCATAGCGGGCGCGCTGATTGGCCACCCCCTGCGCACCCCCTTATGGTGTCGAGAAGCTGCCACGCCTGCTGCGCCCGGGGCGGCATGGGCGCATAATTAGGGGCCGCACTGAGGGGCCACCCCCTGCGCACCTCGTATGCTGTCGAGAATGTGCCACGCCTGCTATGCCCTAGACGACCGGGGCGCATATCGGCCGCGGTGAGGGGCCACCCCATGCGCACCCCCTATGGTGTCGAGGAAGTACCACGCCTGCTATGCCTTGGACGGCCGGGGCGCATAGCGGCCGCGGTGAGGGACCACCCCTTGCGCACCCCCTTATGGTGTCGAGAAACTGCCACGCCTGCTGTGCCTAGACTGGGGCGTATGGAGACCGCGGTGAGGGACCACCCCCTGCGCACCCCTTTATGGTGTCGAGACAGTGCCGCGCCTGCTGTGCCTGTACGACTTGGGCTTATAGAGCCCGCTGTGAGGGACCATCCCCTGCGCACCCCCTTATGAGGCCAGAGAAGTGCCACGCCTGCTGTGCCCGGACGACTGGGGCGCATAGAGGCCGCGGTGAGGGACCTGCCCCTTCGCATCCCCTTGTGGTGCCGAGAGAGTGCCACGCCTGCCGTGCCCTGGACGCCTGGAGCGTCGAGAGACCGCGCTCAGGGACCACCCCCTGCGCACCCCCTTATGGTGTCGAGAGAGTGTCACGCCTGCCGTGCCCTGCGAGCCTGGAGCGTGTAGAGACCGCGCTGTGAGTGCACGAGAGCGACTCGGTTTGCGTTGAAGGTGTCATGTGTACGTGTACGGTCTGTGTCAAGCTGTATGTGGACGTGTGTCCCATGTGGGTGCCCAGTATGTGGTGCATGCGTCTTGGGTGTGTGATGTAGTGAGCACGCCAGGGGTGCGCTAGCGATGTATCGTACCGTGTATGTGTTGCGCGTGGGTGAGTGTAAGTAGAAAGAGGAGGAGGAGGAGGAGGAGGAGAAGGAGGAGGAGGGAGGGAGGTGTGTTCTGGGAGACGCGGGTGAGACGTGACAGGGAAGAAAACCATAACCCCATGAAATTTGTGAGGAACAATTCGACCGGGTCGACCAGGCGCACGTCGTCTCGGCGATGGGAGTCGTCCCCATGGCGCCTGGCGGCGTGAAGGGTGAACGATTTTGTCAGCAAGTGCAAAAACTCATCGAAAAAAGGAAACGGCACCGCATACATTTTCGGAGCTCCGCGCGGATATCTTGGATCGGCGCTTGGCCACGCGCGTCTTGCGCACCAGGGAGGGGGATTCAGTGCAGATCCAAGTAACCATCGCGGACCTGCCACAGTTTCTGTCCATACAGTTTGTTCTTCCTCTAATAGGTGATGGAGACGGCTCCCGGGGTCGACAACTCGGGCCTCAACCGCGTGGGCCTGAGGTGCACCGACGGCTCCGAGGCCGAATCCATAGAGGGCCCCGACGGGGAGTGGACTCAGTGGGCTGACTGCCCGCAGGGGCAGCGCGTGTACGCCATTCGCGTCCGGAGCCTCGCGGTCAGCAAGGGGCGGGACAACTCTGGAATCAACGGTCTTCGAACGAAGAATCGCGATGACCATGACCAAGATGTCGCGGAATCTTGTCGACGCCGAGCTTGGTCGTGGTCCACGCTGGCCGTCGCCAGCTCGCGAGGATGACTCAGGAATTGGCGATGTCAAAGGTGGACGATGGCCAAGATCGGCACCGACGTATCCGCGTGCAGTCTTGGTCATTGTCACCGTGCTCTGGCCCTCCAGGCCTGGAGTTTGTCTGCAGGGCCACGAGCATGAGCGCTTTCACCCGCCTCCGCTTCGGTGGCGACCTCCAGGCGCGCCCCGGCGTCGTCGTCGCGTCGGGCCCGGTGGCCATCGGCGGCGGCTGGTCGCGGGAGCAGAGGTGCGCGCTGAACCAGGCAGTGTGCGGCCTGCAGGCGAACGTCGACCACAGCTAGAAGGGCAAAAATCAGCGCGAGCATGAACCTTCGGAGGGCCACGCAGATTTCTTGGGGTGGCGCGGGACCGAGAACTCCGCGTGGACCTCCGAAAGTTTATGTTTCCGTCGCTTTCTGCTCCTCGGACAGCGGCATGAACGGCACAGGCGATAACAAGGCTGGAGGATGCCAACTGTCGGAGGATTGGAAGTGGACACCGACACCAAAACAGGGGTCTGCGTTCACAGGGGGAGGATGAACCTAGATGTTGGTGTTGGTGGTAATCTTTCGGCTACCCAGGAGGCCAAAATACTACCACCATCACCGAGATTGGGATCGGCTTCCTCGGTGGAGGCACACTGCCGATCTTGGTGTTGGTGCCAACCTCCTGGCCTCCGAAACTGTACACCCGTCACGATTATCAGGCGATCGCAAACATGGATTAAGGGGGTGTGGATTAGCGACGGGTCCTGTTTCCATAAGGAATGTTCGCGGATGTCTTGTTAGATGGGAAATCGCGGATTTCCGCCGCCGAGCGAGGCGGCGCCGGCCGCATTTTGGGGAGGGCACTTCCCCCGATCCATGGATTTGGCGACAGCGGGCCAAATTCATGGATCGATAATCCATGTTTGCGCGCCCCACTCCTCAGAGGCAGCCCCACCACTCCTCAAAGGCACGGGCGGGCCACGGGGAGCGAATCCTGATCCCCCTTGGCCAGGGAAGGGAGCACATTCCTCCTCCTCCTTTTCCTCCTCCTCCTTCTCCTCCCCCTCCTCCTCCTCCTCCTCCTCCTCCTCCTCCTCCTCCTCCTCCTCCCCCTCCTCCTCCTCCTCCTCCTCCTCCTCCTCCTTCTTCTCCTCCTCCTCCTCCTCCTCCTCCTCCTCCTCTCCTCCCTCCTCCTCCTCCTCCTCCTCCTCCTCCTCCTCCTCCTCCTCCTCCTCTCCTCCTCCTCCTCCTCCTCCTCCTCCTCCTCCTCCTCCTCCTCCTCCTCCTCCTCCTCCTTCCTCCTCCTCCTCCTCCTCCTCCTCCTCCTCCTCCTCCTCCTCCTCTCCCCTCCTCCTCCCCCTCCCCCTCCCCCTCCTCCCCTCCTCCTCCTCCTCCTCCTCCCCCTCTTCCCGCTCCACCCCCTCCTCCCCCCCTCCTTGGGGTCGGAGGATGCGCCGCATCGCCGATGCATCGGCGATGCGGCTCGATGTGGAACCCGACGTTCTCCACGTCGACGTCGCCGATGCACCGCCGATGTCGACGCTGCATCGCTGGTGCATCGCCGATGCATCGCCGATACATCGCCGATGTATCAGCGATGCGGCGCGATCCTCCGACCCCATCTACCCCGACCCCATCTAGGAGGCCTCGATCGGTGAAAAGTGCAGACCCAGACTTAGGTCGGGCGTGTCTCTCTACAGGAGGGATGTTCAAAAATAGTCTAAACAAAAAGTCTGGGGACGTTTAATAGCATAGTTTGACAATTTTGGGTGCATGTTTTGGGGTATTTTCTACGTTTCGTCCAAAATACCCTGTAGGAGAACATGCCCGACAGAAACCCAGACATGCCATGTCATGATTTGTTCAATGTGCGGTCCCGGGAAATCCTGACTCTTTCCCAGGGCAATTGTTTCATCCCGACCTCGTTTTTTGTCGGTCCTGGGGCCTGGCGAGGGCCTCTAGAGGCCGAAACTGGCAGCACAAATCGTCCGCCGTGTTCTTTCGCAACGAGAGCATGTCTGGGGATGGCCTCCTGCTGCGAGGGCATCGTGGACCTAAGGGTGTTCTGCTGCAGCGCCCCCATCGTCTGCACCGACGTCTGCGCTGGCGCACAG